GGGGGAAAGGTCAAGACCAAGAAAAGCCGAGCCCGCACGGGGTCTTCCTGCCCGGCCGGCCGGGGCCCTCCTCCCGCCCGAGCGGCTGGGCCACACGTGTGGGGCGTGAGGAGTAGATGTTCCCAATCAGGAAGCGCGCAGTGGAGGAGGGGCGTGGGCACCTGGGACGCCAGGGCAGGTGGGGTGGAAGCCCCTAGGCCCATGGTTCTCAACCTTCCTGATGCCGCGACCCTTTAATACAGTTCCTCCTGTTGTGGTGACCCCCAACCATAACATTATTTTCGTTGCTACTTCATAGCTGTAATTGTGCTACTGTTATGAATCGTCATGTAAATATCTGATACGCAGGATGTATTTTCATTGTTACAAATTGATCATAACTATAGCATAGTGATTAATCACAAAAACAGTATGTAATTATATATGTGTTTTCCGATGGTCTTAGGCGACCCCTGTGAAAGGGTCGTTCGACCCCCAAGGGGTCGCAACCCACAGGTTGAGAACCGCTGCCCTAGGCTGTCCCCCAGTCTCAGATGTTGCCAGCGACCCCTGCACCCTGCACCCCTCCCAATGCGGTTGGGCCTGAGCAGAGGCTGCACTGCCACCTGGTGGCCTCCCCCGTCACTACAGTGCTGACCCCGAGCCTGGACACAAGGCAGCAGGGAGGGGACCCCAGTGTCCTAGCCTTAGAGCCACTCCGCATCTCGTAGCAGAGGTCGAGGTCAAGGGCCATAGGGATGGGGAAGTAACCCCATCACTGGCCTAGGAGGCCTGGGGTGAGGGACCCCAAGAAGGAGGGACTTAAGGCCTTGGACCCCTGGGGCACTAGAGGGGAGCAGGGTTCCCTGAGGCCGTGGGGTGGAGAACACCCCCCCCCCCCCCCCCCCCCCGCCCCAGGGAGCTCCACAGCAGTTCAGCCATGGCTGGAGCTCGTGGCTGGAGAAGCCACCGCCCCATCCTCCCTCCCCGGGAGGCCACTGGCCACCTTGGCCCTCGGAGGGAGCAGGGAGGTGCTGGGGAGAGAAGGGAGGGAGAGGAAGGAGCCACAGTGCAGAGGCTGCCGCCCACACACCCCTGCTCACACCCGGCCCCGGGAGAGGCGAGGGTGCTGTGAAGGGACGGGGAGGCGGTGGACGGCTGACACCTGGGCCTGCCTGGCCTCCTGTTCCCACGCCTGGATCCACACTCAGCAGGCAGAGGCGGAGCCCCGGTGCAGACCATGCCAGCTCCCCCCACGCCCACCCGCTGGAGAGACGAGCAGGCGCAGCCAGTGGCAATGCTCTGGGCCCCAGGGGGCAGTGAACTGGGAAAGCTGGCCTGGCCCTGGGCTCCCCCCGCCATCTCCGGGAGCACCCTGCACCCACCCCTCACTGAACCCACGGGCCTCTGCTGGCGTCTGCACCCTCAGCCATGTCCCCAGGGCCTGCTCCGAAGCCCTCCTGCCACAAGGGAAGCTGGTCTCTAATGGTTCCACCTGCGGAATAAAGTCGCCATGCTCAGCGCCAGCCTGTTAGGAAACGCCCTTTATGGAATTTTCTGGACTCGACTTTCCCAAATCCTCCCCCTTTCCCTGGGAACTGTGTACTGCAGAGAGAGACTGCACACAGGCGGGGTCCAGGCACCTCGGGAATCAGCACCCAGCACACCGACTCCTCGGTGTTCCCGTCACCAAGGCCCCACCCGGAAAGGCACGGGCCCCAGGTCCTCGGCCGCTGTCTGCACAGTCCACGGCCCCCGCG